ATATGATATATCATACATTTTATTGATTGATACCCAATTACAGTATTTATTCGTTTTCTTTCTAAAAAATAAATGATTTATTTAATTTTTAAAAAATCAATATTTTAAAATTTTTAGCATTGTATGACTCACGGGTTTCTCACCTTAACTGCCATTCATATTGAAATTGTACGTCTTTTTTAGTGTTTTAAAATGTTTATAATGTAATTTGTCGTGTTTTGGTTCTTATTACGTAGCGTAAATATATTTCTCAAATTTAAAATGCAAATAAGTTATTATTCATAACTTACGAGTCAATATTTGTCTTATACGTAAATAGAGTAGTCAATTATTTATAGTTTAATAATTTACTCAACTACTTGTAATTTTATTTATTTGGATAGTATATACAAAAATAAATTTATTTTAATTAATGCAACAATATAAGTTTTAATATTATACTTATTATTCACATACATTTTTAAATATATGATAAAATATGACCAAAACAATCTTTTTATGAAGCTCGCCTAGAGCCTATACTAACAATACTAGAAACACACCCACAACACAACAAAGAAAACTACAAGCTCCAAAAGTGAAGAATCACCGATTCAACTAAATTATGCACAGGTCCCACATGGGAGAAACCAAAACCTAAAGATCCAAACAACAAAAACACAACACCAAGAACAAAAACACTAACAAACACACCCAAGTCAAACACGAGCAAACCTAAATAAACTAAATAAGAAACAACCCTTCCACAATCGCGAAACACCAAGAAGTATGTGGGTGGCCACACCGTCGACCACTCCACCAGATTGAGCCACACCTCGAGAAGTCACTCTAGAAACTGCCTAAAGTTTAATTAGACCCGCACCACAAGAACAACCCCGAGTCAAGTTATGGCCTCTGTTTGTGCTCAGTTTTTCATATCTTAGAAGCTGTTTTCTGGTTAAGTGTTCATCATAAGAATTGTAGCATTTTGAATTAAGTTTCTGTGAGTTTTCGAATTTCGTGGTTTGGAGTTGAATTAATTTATTATGAATTTTTGAAGTTGTATCTGCAAGCAGTTTTTATAAACTCGGGCAGAAACTTTGATCTCAATTTATTGCTGTTTTTTATGATCTTAGCGTGCCTGTATGAAAATGTATTCTTCATGACAAATGTAGTATATGTAGTAAGCTGCCTGTGAGAGTTGGAATCATGCAAATTGGAGGTCCAGTTGATTTTATATGATTTTTCTAAGTGGGATACACATCCAGTTTTTATGAACCATGGCTGTATTTAAATCTTGAATGTGTGCTCTGTTTTGATGACCCGAAAGTGTTCGTAT